CAAGCAATTTTCCCAGAAGCTAGTTAACCTCCCAGTATGTCTTTGGACTTTGGGAGGAAACTATAGCACCTGGAGGAAACCCACACAAACCTGGGGAGAACATACAAACTCCACACAGATGGCACTCCAGGTCTGGATTTGAATCCAGGGTCCCAGTGCTGTGAGGTAGCAGTGCTAACTACTGCGCCACTGTGCTGCCCGGGATTCAATCAGCACAACTCAAATGCAAGTTGTGCTCAGGCCCAGTTCCGTTTGGTGTCGCATTGATGAAGCGAGCACTAAAGAAAACAAATCTCTTCTTCAGGTCCTGCAGTTTCAGCTGGCCTGTCAGCTTTTTTCACGGTTTTGTGACCGCTTCCAAAGGAATGAGGCCTGCTGTGATTGTGAAGCAGGGACAATATGGCTGAAGTGTGTTTCTCGTTCATTCGACGCATTTCCAACGCATTCTGTGCTCTATGTTAAATACTTTGGATTTTTTTGTACAGAGCATAGTGTTAAGTGGTGCTTCTTATTAAAGCGGGTACCTGCTTAATTGCTACCACTGAGAAACTAGCCCAGGGCAACCCCTGAAAAAACCTGGAAAGGGTTATCTACTAATTAATTGGATTAAATCACTTAGATGAATTTACAATGAATATCTAAATAGTTTGCTTTTCCAACTGTTTTAGCTGAGGAGATCTGTGGAAAGTTGGGTGTTGAATGGTGTCCACTTTAAAGTGGCCAAAACACTTTAAATAGACTTGCTACATAGTGGGTGTGGCATTATTTGCATTAAGATGCATTGGGGCAGTATTGTATGTCTATTTAAGAAGAGGAATATAAAGGAGGTGTACAATGAACTAAATCAAAGCTGAAATTGTGTGGATTGAAATTGCTGAGATAGCCTGAAGAAAAACTTTTGATCTCGTTCCTCTGGCATGCAATCATTCCAGTCCACTGAATCTTTCTGCACATCGATAGAATATCAGCATTTCCCCCAAAATACCGTTTCAACATTTCCTGTTGAACAGCTCCTTGCTTCCAGAATGTTCAGAAAGCATTCTGGGAGAGACTTTTTTTCTTTCAGCTGAAAATCGCGCTGCTATTGGGTTGTACGAAGGTGTGATGTTGTGGGACAGTGGAAAGGGGAGAAAGGAAATCCCATTTTAAAGTTCAATTGCATCTGTTTTACAGAACAGGAGTGGTGCAATTCCACTGCCGTTGTACACAGCCCTCGATGGTTTTTATGGTATCATCTTATGAAGGGGTTTCTACTAGGAGAATTTCCAAGAGGCTTCAGCGGTAAAGGTCTAGTTTCAGAGCTCAGAATTGAGCTCTACACTTATGGCATTGCGGGTTTCTGTAATCCATGGTAATGCATGCTCTGGCATCTTCGGGTCGTATCTTGAACGCTCGCTATACTCTTTTCTCTCTCTAGTCTATTGTCTTCTGTTACCATGAGACGTGCAGCAAGTTTTTGAATCTTCACCATAGCAAGGAAAGAGTCGGCCTTTGTTTTCTTGTGCTTTTCTAAACCAGTGAAAAACAAGGTAAATGCCGTTACATGCTTCTCTGCCTCATGCTGTAGAGTATTTCTGTAGGGCAAGTGACAGTGACAAAATATAAGACCTTTTTCATTGCCGATGTTGTATCATGTTGGAAGGCTGAAATAGGAAACGGTGGGCCTAATTTGGGAGGGCAAATTGTACACGGCCTTGTTTTCGCAGTGTAATAAAATGGTGTTCTGTGGTGCCAGAGTAAGCTTGACCTGTTGTGAGGCAGTGACTCAGCATCTAGCATCTCAGCTGGAGAGAAGCTTGTTAAAGCAGTTGGCATCCTCTCACTGCTGCCTAGAACATTTTCAGCACTTCATCTGAATGAGAGGAGAATGGCAGTACATCCCAAGGACTTGAGGGACGGGCTGGTAAATCAGTCTCTGGGTCCGTACCCATAGATGGGGATTATCAAGAGGCCATGATTGGTCAGGGCCAATGGGAAATTTGACCAGGACACCGGGGTTACACCCCTACTCTTTTCGAGAAACGCCCTGGGATTTTTAATGACCACAGGAAGTCAGGACCTTGGTTTTATGTCTCATCAGAAGGACGGTGCCTGTTTACAGTATAGTGTCACTATTACTAGGGTATTAGGACCCACATGGACCGCAGGGTGAGTGCCCCCTGCTGGCCCCACTAACACCTCTTCCAGCAGCAACCTTAGTTTTTCCCAGGAGGTCTCCCATCCAGGTACTGACCAGGCTCACACCCGCTTAGCTTCAGTGGGTTGCCAGTTGTGAGTTGCAGGGTGCTATAGCTGCTGGCCATAAATATACAGCATCAGTTGTTGACCCGTGATCAGACAGGGCCATTGGATGGCAGCCCCAGCCCTAGCAGCCCATAAAGGCTAATTGTTATTATATAGGATTAGAGGCTGTAGCCAGCACCAGCCAGGATGTTGAAAAGGTTTGCCAGTACAAAAGAAATTGCCCACGTTTTCTGGAAATGCCAGAGCCGAGAGGAGGTCGCAGGGCACTGTTTCGTAGAATGGCCCATCAGCCCCATCGCTGCAGGTCTCTGGAGGTGGGAAGGAGCAGGGATACCCAGGAGCTGTGGTGCTGACCGTCCTGCTGCCCAGGTTGTGACATACTGAGAGCAGTAGCACAGCCGTGGTGGTGGACAGCATGTGAAAGGCCATTGTGTTCCTCACTGGCACAGGATTATCCAGAGGGTGATCATGCGAGTCAAGTCCTTTTCCTGTTCCTGCCGGTGTCTGATTCTGTTCCCCTTTAGGCATTTTGAATGCTTGTATTGTTCTGTGTATCAAAGCTTTCCTTTTGGCTTGAGAGTTTTCCTTTGGGGTTTTGTTTTCACTCTGCCGGTGTGACCTGCGGGCAGCACTGCAGAGAACCTGGTGGAGCTCGCACGATTGTCTCCTTTCCCCCCAGCTCAGCGAAGGGCAGATTCTGCACAGTGTCGAAGAGGTGGCAGGCTGTGGTTGGAACTAATATATTTTGGTCCTGGGATGATTAAGAAAGGCACATGTCGGGAACATGCAGATGTTTTTCTTTTAACCCCTACTTTGTGATTTGCCATCAACCCTCCTCTACCAGCATGATATGAAGCCAAACTATACGTGGGGTCAAGATATCTGCTTCTTTTCAAGCCAAGCTCCTTCTTTTCCAAGTGCAAAGCTCAAGTTTCAGCTGGTGGGTTAACATGGCTTTCACTGGTAAAGTTGTGAGCATATAGGTACCCTCACTGGCCACACAGAGGCGCTGTTCAGCAGTGAGCTTGCCCTGCCCTGGAATCGATCCAAAATCAGCACGGGTGGTGCTTCTCTGTTTGGGTTATCTCTGCTGGCAAATAACAGTCCAGAACAGAACCTGTGATCTCGACCCCTCTTTTATTTTTTTGACCTTCTTTTTCAAGCATTCGTCTTCAACGTATTTTTTTCTTTTGCGTTTCGAGTTATTTTATATGGGCAAATAGTTTCTTCGGTTATTTTGCCGTTGTGTGAAACAGGAGTGTAAATGAGCTCGCTTGAGCTCCAGTATGAAGAATCTGTTTCAACAGGAGCTCTTGATTACAAAAAACAAAGGTCTCCCTTCTCTGAAATCTGCCTGATTACATCCCTGGTGATTGAAAAGGGAAATGTGCACTGTTGAGGGAAACCATAACTCCAGAAATGTAAAGGAAAAGGGAGCCTTTTAGAAGTTTCTAAGGAATGGTAATGATCTTTATCCTTTGATTCTCGGCTCTGGTTTTGTATGACTTTGAAATGGAAAAAATATTGAGTAGAGTTTTGGCAATTCATTACTTTTGCTGAAAGTTAGTCTGCAGAGGACAGGCATTATTTTGAAGTTTCTTTGTTTCATTTCTACCCCACAGGGACTGCTCTCTGAGGAGAGTGATAGAGGAGTTAATTTGCAGTGGCCTGAGGTGGTGGTTCAGTACAAGGAGTATCCTAGATATTAATACAGTAGCCCTGAAGCTAAAACCTTTAAAAATTCTTTATGCTTTCCGGACTTGCAAATTGCACAGTGACCCATATAAGTACTTGGGTGCACTGGGTTGAATTTTGAAGACTTTCAGCTTTGTTATTGTGCCTCAAACCTGTCTCAGCAGCCTTAAAACATGTTTGTATCCAAGCAGCAAAAAAATCAATCTATTACAATGTCAATCCAGTCTGCCGAAGCGTTGCTGTATCCAACATTGTGGAGATCTGTGTGTTATAGAAGATGCACAACAGTGTACTTCTGACATGATTCTGTCCTGGTGGGGTCAAAGTCTGGTATTGTTGGTGGGCTGCTGATCTGGCAAGGTGAATTCATCTGCAAGACCCTTCACACTTGTGCTTGGGAAGCCGATGTTTCTGAACTACAGACGCCCACCCAAGGATGGGTTTCAGTGCCTTTGATAGCACACACGCTGACATGCAAATGAAAAGTATGCAGGAGCAGACTGCAGTCTTTCTGATGTGTCCATCTTATTGCTTTCTCTTGCTGATTTGTTTTGCATTGGGGAGATTGTACTTCATTGTATTTTATTTTTCTATCCCTTGCAAAAGAGTGTTCCCTGCAGTTTTACGAACAGCTGCTTTTGCACTTGAATGTTTAGATGCTGATATTTTCAGGCTGTAATATTTTGAATTCCAACACTTTCAACTGCAAAAAACATCCAGTTTTTCTGCCTGCTGAGGAGCCTTCGTGTTGTTATTCTGTGATCTTCCCAGGGAACAATCAAACAGTTTATTTTTTTGAGTTTGTTTTGCAGGTAATCACAGATGAGATTTGGGTTTACAGAATGACAGCTCTGTTGCCTGGCAACCTCTGCGATATTGGATTTTTCAAAACAGTCATTTAAAAAATGGAAATGTTTTAGCGTTTTAATAACGGGAGCTCACCTCCTCTCCTGCCTCTCCTTGATTGATTTTTGGGAGGCCTGTTTCCGAGTCTTCCAGAGGCGTTTAAATGTTGTCTCTTTTCATCCCCCCCCTCCCCCCCTCTCTTGTCTGTGGAGCAGATATATGGAGTGACCAGTCATTTCAGACAGACCCAGACCTACCTCCGGGCTGGAAGAAGATCAACGACATCGCTGGGATCTACTACTGGCACATACCCACTGGCACCACGCAGTGGCAGAGGCCTGTGGCCCCGTCAGTCGACCCCGAGGGCTTGCGGAAGAGCTCTCTGAGTTCCGTTACCCCGTCACCCACGCCGGAGAATGAGGTAGCTCCCTCACCTCTTCCCATACGCCCCGAGATTCGTCCCCCCCCCCCAAACCAGAACCGTTCTGAGGAAAAACGGAAACTGAACCGTTTTCGTTGGTGCTGAGGAAAGACGCAGCCAGAGCTATTTCTTGGTGTTGAGGTGCAGCTGGCGGTGGAGATGTGGAATTCACGCATTTGTCCTTTTTTAAGAGTAAAGGAGAAATGTAGGATACAAAGGAACGGGAAAGTTTTCTTCTGTGCCGAAAAGGAAAGAAATGAGACAGGACGTTACAGATGCAGGGCCTTCTTCAGTGGAGTTCTTCAGCCTTCTTCACATACCTGAAGAAGGCTCCAGAGGCAGCCCTTTTGTAAAGAAGTGCCTTTTCTTCTCGGTTTTAAATGCTCTTCAATGAAGTTCTCACTTGCCTTGTTTGTGTTTCACTGTTTGTTCTGATACCCAGTTGGGACCGACATTGCCAGGTCAGTGCCTTTGAGGATTTTGAATAATTGTATCGGGTCCCCTCGTAGTCTTCTGTGTTCAAGAATAACAAGGCTCAGTTTCTTCTGCCTGTCAGGGTAGGAAAACGAAGCAGACCTGTTGATGAGTCCTTAACTTGTCAACAGCTCTTCTGCTTTACTGTCATCACACACATAGAAAGATTGCTTTCCAGTGTTGAATAATGCTCGTGTTTTTATCTTAAATCGCAGGTTGTACAATAATAAATGTTGGCGACGCACATCATTGCATCTCTTATTCGGCAAATTGAATGTGTATCGCAAGCGTTGCTCCTCTGCCTGTGAAAGGAAGTAAAATATGATTGAATTAGAAAAAAAAAAGCTCATCTTTTCTTTTTAATACCCAGTTCAGACTGAAGGTCACCCTACTGTAATGTGCTCCAAGAGAGGAAACCAGGTTATCATCAGGAGTCAGGGCATTGAGATATGAGAAGCTCTGTCATTGCTTAGGGAATGTTTTATAGGATCTATTTATTTTTAAGTCCCACATCTGATTTTCATTCTGCTGGGTTAGACAAGACTGTATTTTATAAAAAGGCCTTTGCAACACACATTTCAACAGCAGAAATAAGAATCCGAATGATGATGTGGTTGTCTTAATGTAGTCAGTTGGGATATTCTTTTTTACTACTACTACTAATACTGATAAAAATAATAATTCCTTACACATATATATAGTGCTTTTCTGGACATTCCACTCAAAGCGCTTTACAGGTAATGGGGACTCCCCTCCACCACCACCACCACTGTGCAGCCCCACCTGGATGATGCGACGGCAGCCATAGTGCGCCAGAATGCTCACCACACATCAGCTAAAATATATATATTAGTAATTTTAGTATTTTAATTTGTAATATACATATTCTAACATAATAATTGAATGTATATTGTAATATTATCCAATGAACAGGAGCTGGGCCACTCAGGTCTGACATCACAGGTTGTACCTCTGCTGGGGTCCAATGATTCCATTGACTGTGGTAGCTTAGATGCTTGCGGGTTATTGTGGGATAGTGCCCATCGTGTCCTTGTTCATAGCGTTCGAAAGAAGACTGGAGTACCTGCGAACCTAGGCTGAGAGTCAGTGGAATAGTGTAAATGAGAGGACTAAGAGGTTTTGAAGTGCTAGAACGTTCTAGATAAGAGACTGTCCTGAATGACTTGCAGGTTAGGAAGTGTGTCAAAGCCGTTCCCCCACTCTTAAGAACATAAAAAGGTTTACACATGGGAGAAGAATGTCATTTTGCCCATCTTTGCTCATGGTTTGTAAATCTGTGACAAGGCTACTGAGCATTGTTAAGGACTTGGGTTCATAGTGTGTTTTCCTTTTTTTAAATGTAGAAATGAAAGTTTTTCTTACACACTCACCTGATTTTGGGTCCGACGCCCAGTTGTATTTTTTCACGTCTCGGTGTGCAGATGCCAACCCTGTGAGCGCACACGGGGGAGGAAGAGGAAGTGCAGGCAGACGTCCGCTTTCAAGACACTTGTTACGTTAAAAAGTCACAGGCAGCACGGCCCCCTAGCAGAGATTCAGCACAGATTTGAGGAGAGGTCTGTCCCTTGCCTGGGAGCATGGCCAGCCTGCAAGCACCTGGGAAACCACAAGGGATCCACAAGAGGCCCTGGCCAATTTATCCCACCCTCAGCGGCAATCGGTCAATGGTGTGCCAGCGCTGGGAAAAATCGTAGTGGTATGACTGGGGCACAAACCCATGATCACAGAGCTCAGCCTGCACTCAAACATGTCCACCCTTTGTGGTGAAATATTTGTGTTGGGAGCTCCGTCTATACAACTCCAGCTCGTACATATCGCTGCGTTGACTCATGAGCCATACTTTCATTGTGCCTCGTGTTGCTTCTGAACTGCCGTTAGTCTTTTTCAATGATGTTACTGAAAGTGCTTAATTATTTAACACACCATTGATTATTCACTTTAGGGGTAATAGATTAATGGCTTAAAATTAGTGCTACAAGGAGGAGTCCATGTAAGATGTCTGACTCTTTGGTGTGAATAAGTTATCACAGTCCCTTGTCACTTGACAGACTAAAACCTGAGATCTGTCTTTTAACCCTTCATAAGCCCTTTGATGGCAAATATACTGCACTGTGTCAGTCTAGGCTCTTTTTTGTTAATGGGGGGTGCTGTTCGGTATAGTTTTAGTGTGAACTGGCAGATGTGTTGGACAGAGAAGATTGGATCCTCTCAATTTAGTTAATTTTTATGTGTTTAATAATTCTGGTTAGGAACATGTACCAGTTTCCTGTCCCCAGATGGCAGATAAGACTGATCCAGAAAGAGTGTGTTTCTTGGTTGGTAATTGTCACCTGACCCATCACCTTCTCAGAGCTGCTCAGGTGATTGGCTGCAGCACCCCCCCACAGCAGTCTGGGGAATGTAGTTCATACGGCGATCTCCATGGGGTGTCATCTTACTGCCCTCTTACAATGTCTGAAAAGAAACCAAACTAATTTGGGAGGGCCTGGTATTTGGAGAGCAAGTCATGTAACATAATTGTGATTATCGCAATTCAGGATTCAGTAAGGTACCCAAGAACTCCACGGTGAGAACCCACAATGCACAGGGTTCCAAAGAAGCAGGTGTGGAGGCACCCCTGTCATTAACCCTTCCTGTCTCTGTCTCTGCAGCAGGCCGCCACGCACCATGAGGAGTTGTTCTCCCAGGAGAATCTCTCTGGGAGCGCCACGTCCGAGAGCTCCCTGGAGCCGCCCGCTGTCTCCTCCTCCGAGATCTCCGTACCTTCCTGTGGATTCGTCAACAGCTGCTACTTCGTAAGTGGAGGCCTCTGGCTCTTCCTGTCTGAGGAGTGGGGGCAGGTTGGGGGGTTGCGGAACTGCTCGGGGTCCCACGCAGGGCCGAATGAGAGTTAGTCATATCTGGGGGTTCAGCGCCGATTGGAGGAGAGGCGCGTCCCTCGCTGAGGGGTCCCTGGTCCACTAATCCCACCCTGTCAGCCAGGAGTGTGCCGTTGCTTGGGGAATCCGAGGCCCAGCTGGCAAGTAGCATGATCTGGGCTTGAACTGGCAACACCCGAATCATAAGAGCTCCACCTGCAATTGGGTGAACACCCTTACCAGTTATAAAGCTCTGTTAGGGATGACGAGAAATGTTTGTCTTGTGTACATTTCTTGTCTTGCTATTGAGTGTGCGGTGCTAATGTGATGCCTCGAGCAGTGTGGCGCGATATTAAAAAAAAGCCTCGTCTCCAAGAGGGGCAAATAAGGCCCTAACAGAGTACGGTGGTGCATTTCGCCGATATTTGTTCACATGCGCATTCAGAGGAACATTAGACGTTCATGTCAAATGTCAGCCTGAAAGAGGCATTAACCCTAACCCTGTCTTGCGTGTTTGATTGCTTGTACATCACCAAATTCTTGTGCAGCTGTTTTTGAAGAAAGACAGATTGCTGACTTAAGCATCCTGGGTGGGCAGTTTTGCCCGCAACAGTCTGTGTAAAGATATGTATATGTACCCTTAGCTTCCACACGTGACCCCTGTTCTGGGCTTTGCTGAGTTTTAAAAAAGAACTTGGGTTACAAAAGCAATCTGTGATGGAAGAGTTATATGGTTGGTTTCTTAAAACTTCATTACTGAAACAAATTAGCAAATTATAACATTAACAAAATAATGAGGTACTTGTTTCCCTAAAACTACAGTATGTAGAACTTTTAAACGAAATGTCAACAGCTATGTGTAAAATGACTGCTGTTGCACATTGCTGTGTTCTTCTACCTTCAGAAGCAAACCCACTTGCTTGTCATCTGGCACACTCTGCCGAGCTCTCTTTCTGTTTACTGCATGTCTCTGCATGGATATCTGTGGGATGTTTAGGATTTTTTTCGTCCTTCAGTCATCCAACCTCACTGGCTCCGTAAGTGCTGAAGGAATTGTTTCATAGATCGGTTTGGCAGCGTCCTACAGCAATAAAGAGCTCTTCTGAGCAGGATTCTCTCCTAAATCAGCAAATAACATAATTTTGATCTGCCCAAATCAGCACCCAGGCAAACGGCTTCATGCAACCCCAGGCTGGTAATATTAAGTGGATGTTTTATTCAGCTTAGTTTTTACAAAGGTCACCATCTGGGTATTTGGCACACTTCTCTTGGTGGCATGCCAAAATGATAAGGTGGTAGAGTCTGTGATATTGCAGATGTTCCTGTCGTGCCCTTCCAGAAGTAACTTGCTCGAAACTTTCTGCTTGCTTTTGTTCAACATGCTGGACGAGAAATGGTTGCCTGGTGTCTCTAATATGCTGACACCGGTATGCTTTCTGCATCGCTGCAGATTTTGCTAGAATGTTCCGTTTTTTTCCATTGTTTGCCTCCAGTATAAAGCTAGAAGAACATCTCGCAAATGTGAAAAATGGACAGATAAAGTGGAAACGCTGTCCTGTGGCACATTTCTTAGCCACTCTGCCTTTGAAACTGTAATTAGCAGCTACCAAAATTGAACCATTGAACCAGCCTGGTAATTAAATAAGATGTCCTACGTAACTGAGGTCCAATGGTATTGCTGCATATATAACCACAAATCAGAGGCCAAAAGCAGGAACCCGACGTTGAAAACAGAGCTCAGGCAAAACCCTGTGTAGCGAAGGAGGTGCACCACTGAAATACTTCCTCCTGGGATTTCCTCCCATTCATCTTCTCACACAAGACAGTTTCGTGGGAACAGTTAGCACCTAAAGCATAAAATAGTGTTTACTGAAGGGGACTAAACAGCAAAGAACAAAGGAGAACATGACAAATGAAGCTATAGAAAGTCTGCTAAGCAAATAATAATAACAGTACAGTTCTGATAGGAACAATACTGAAGTGAAAATATTTTGGGCCACCAAAGGACTGGCCCAAATGAAATATTGAGATATTGAAATATTTATTGAGAAATATTGAGTGGCCAGATATACAACTTATGTTTTGTTGTAGGTGGAATGAGTTGTACTGTCAAGTCACTCCAGTCTTAATATCTTTAAGAATTACGTTGTGTAATAGTTTTCTGTGTCATCATGGACTGGTTGTATTGCATAGAGTAACACAACTGAAGTTGTCGTGGCATGGATAGTATTGGGAACTAAAGCTCATTCCTCTGTTATATTGACTGAAATGAGTGGTAAATTATACTGAAATATATTACGAATTTATTTTTTTGGGGGGAAAGTTCTGGGTACTTTTTGCTCAGTGAGGTTGGCAACTCCTGACAAACCCCAGCCTGAAATGATTTTGCTAGTTTGTATAAAATAAAAAAAGCCAGTTGTGGGGATAAGCTGGAGTGACAATTTCTTGGTAGCTCAGACCTCTCGTCATGTCATGCTGCCCGTGCGAGCTGAACGCCGTTTAGTGTGCATGATATATCGGGGAATGCTGGGGGAAGAGAGGAGTGCTTTCCACTGTGTACTCAACATCTCAACTTTTGTAGCCTCACTCATCGTCATTACAGATCATGGCAGAAAACGAAAATCATACCGAGTTCACGCAGGAGGAAGTGAGCAAGGTAGGAATGTGAAGATCTCCTCTCGTTTCCTCTGTAACCTGACGGCCGTTTTCCCACAGTGCTGAGGCTGGCTCCGAGAGGGCGCTTGCCTAAATGTGAAATAAACATTTTTTTTTTCCCTTCCTTGGGCGTGAAGTGACTTGCCCCATTTCCTCTTTTGGGAGTTAGGTGTTGTTTTGTTGTGTTGTCTTTTTTTTATCTTTGTTAAGTCGTTGACATCCAGATGACGTAGTGACTAGGGAAGATACGACTGCAGAGATTGGCCTGTTGTATCACTAACCCCAATCTTGAAATAATGTGCTAATAGCCATGTCTTGTCTTTTTTTCCTTTTTTTATGAATGTGTTTCCCTTCATCTGTGTGAATAACTGTATGTCTAGAAACAGCCGTGGAGTGATTTTGCTGTGCTGAATGGGGGAAAGATTGATAGTGAGATTTGGAAGGCAAGTATGTACAAAACGAACTCGTCGGTCTACGACGATACGGAATGACTTGTGCATGTCAGCTGCTTCATCTGTCCAACCCTCAGTTCTGCTCGGCAGTTTTCCTTTTTTTTTAGGTTGCTTTTTTGTTTTACTTTTCGCAGTTTTTGGTTGCAGTGGCTGAGAGAGAAAAAAGGCACTCGAAAAACTTTTTTTTTTATTTTCAAACCACTCAAATGATTTTGTTAATGAGAAGTTTTATTTTTCCTTTGTTCTAATCTACCTGGAGATGATGTTCTAGGCATGTGTTACTCATGCAGTCAGCTTCACTGGAAACAAACGATTTTGGTTTTTGTATGATGCATGCCAGTGCACTGGAGAGTTTAACTAAAGTTCCCACTGTTGTTCATTTAAGGACCTCATTTCTCAGTGCTGAAGTAGCCTTCCTTGCCAAACCCTACCCTTTTTCTGCAGGATCTGCAGGCAGCTACAGTAAACCCAGACCCCAGCCTAAAGGAGTTTGAGGGGGCTACCTTGCGCTACGCTTCCCTGAAACTGCGGTGAGTTTCTTCAGATTTTGTTTTGGAGCTGTCCCACTGCTAGTCGGAGCATCCCTTTGTCTTCCAGATACCTAACCGCCCTCTCCTGCTCTTTCTAGACATCCGCCACATTCAGATGAAGAGGACACCTGCAGCATTAACAGTGATCCTGAAGCTAAGGTCAGTTCTCAGATATCGTCCATTGCCTTATCTCTGGTATTCAAGCCCTTATTCCAGATATTAATAGCTGCTTATATGCAGTTTAAATGTCTTAAATAAAGGAAATTAATCCCTTAATCCTCCTAGCCCTTGAGGTCCCACAGATTATACATTGGGCGCTTAGAAAACCTTGTCCACTAGGGGGTGCCAGAGGCACACATTGTAGAAAGGAGCTCAGAAGCCCATAATGTAATTGCAAATCCTAAAATGAGCGAAGCCCATCCTCATTCAAAATGTCTGTCAGAACCTGCATCCTTTTGACATTCCAGTGTGAAGAAGAGAAAGGAGAATGGCCTGGTACTGATCTTGTGATTACGGCATGCACATTCACATATTTTTCATATCTTCCATGTTTTCGTGAATTTTCCTACTGAATGTACAGTTAATTTCCTAATGCAGCCTACAAATTCTAAGAGGTACACCAGTACAAATCAAATTTGGGAGGTCTGTACAGAGAGACTGATTTCACGTGAGCACCATCATTCAGGAGTGTCGGCTTTAAGCCACACAAACAAACAAGTGGACAATCAAAAGCATAGACATTATTTGGAAAGTTTGACGGAGCCAGACCTCCTACAGACCTTTCATGTCGTAGAACTGAAAATGTTATACTTTGTCGCCTCCCTTTCCATGTGAATTTGGAAGAATCTAGGAGTACAGGATATTTATATAGCATAAGGAGTGGGGGAGGAGTAATTGTTGAACTAAAACTTCAGGTAAGGCAGCACATTTAGTTTAGTTGCGAATTGATAAAATTAACCCCCTAAAACTTCTTGTGGGGGTGTGTGAAGAGAGAGATCCTGCAGGAAAAGGGCTGGCTCTCTTCACTGAAACGTTTGTGCCAGTAATTCTGACAGGTCATTGACGTGTAATTGATTTTCTGCTCGTTAACAGCCACCAAAAATCATCAACAACAACAGATGAAGCAGGAATTAAGACGTTGTCTAAAATGCATGTCAATATGCCATCTGTTCAGGGTGATACACAGTTTACACCATTACTGATGATATAATTATATAAATTAGTACATTGAACAGCCCTTGTTAAAGGTTCCAAAGACAAGGCAAAACAACAACAAAAATGCTTGCTGCTGGACAACACTGTTGTTGAAGGATTAGCAATATAAAATTGGAAACTATTTTTGAAAATTGGAAACAGTTTTGATAGGATTAGGTTTCATTAATAACTCCAGAAGCCCCTTAATAAAACTCATTTGTTTGTGTTGATCTTACTCATAAAAACCTCGATCAGACACAAAAGCTGCTCTACATGTAGTTTGGCTTCTGAGCACATTGGTGAGTTGGAATAACAGTGCGCACAAACTGTGAAATCTTTATTATCCAGTTAAGGGTGATGGGTATCACCAGCTTTTTGAACATCCCTCTGAAAAGACTGTTGCACACTTTCCCAGATCATATTGAGACTGTAAACTATATCGTTTTGAGCAAAATGTGCAAAATGTGGAGTTGATCTGCGTGAGATCTGGCAGTAAGGCCCTGTCCAATCTGATGGCTGAAAAATCTGCTAAGTGCTGGTTGCTGTGAGGCCTGAGTTACTCTCTGGGTCAAATGGCGTTTGGTGTAATGCCGAAGGATTTTTCCATTTTGTTTGCTGCTCCTGCCATCTAGTGTGCACATAGAGCATTGCATTGACATCTCCACCTGGACATTTTCCCCTGTTTTGAAACTTCAGGAGAAGCTTTGCTCTTCACCACATGAAGTTTCTTTTTACTCAGTCAGTTGTGAGTTAGCAAACATTTATATTGAACAGTTTCCATTGAACTCAGTCTATTTTGTAGCATCAAGAGTAATCATTCTGAATGACCATACTGTAGTAGTGACAGTCTGGGTCACTACTACAGTCTTCTTTGATCTTTGGGTCCTTATCCTCTAGAATTCAGTCATTCGTCTCACAGGCTTCTCTCCCTGGCAGCTTTACAGTCCCAGAAACAGGGACTTGGGCATTATTTAAAATAGATTTAGCAATTACAGTGCGGTGTTGTGCACTACTATACTAAGAGCATTTAAAATGGTTTCTAAGTGGAAAATATCTCAGTTTTTATATGCTATTTGAACTTGCATACTGATACCCTAGAATTGAACTTGGGAGGAAGTTCCTGTTTTTAGTATTTGTTCCCCTCCGAGCTCAAAAAGTTTGAGGATTCCTAATCGGGTTTTCAGTCTCCCCAAAGATAATCAGAAGCCTTAAGTCCTGAAAG